TCGGCGACGAAGTCGGCCTGGGCTTGTGCTTTCAGGGCTTTCCTGCTCTCGTATTGAATGTCGAATTCAGAGAGTTCTAGGGACCACTTCAGCATTCTGCCCGCCATATCTGGCCGACCCAAGAGCTGTCTCACCGGTTGATCAGTTCGCACGATGATGGTGTGTGCCAGAAAGTAGTGTCTAAGCCTCCTCGCAGCATTGACGAGGGCCAGTGCAACCTTTTCTATCTGTTGATACCTGCTCTCGGGGCCTTGTAAGGCTTTGCTCGTGAAGTAGACAGGTTTCTGCCCGTCTGGAGTCTCGCGGACAAGAGCTGCACTAATGGCTTCGTTTGAAACTGCCAAGTATAGGTAAAGTGGCTCGTTGTCATCTGGTCGAGAGAGCACGGGCGGTTGAGATAGGCTCTGCTTCAGATGGCGAAGTGCGTGCTCGCATTCCTCGGTCCATTCGAAGGCTGCTTCCTTTCGAAGGAGTTTGAAAAAGGGAAGGGCGTGCTGAGCGGACTTCGCGACGAAGCGCGAAAGTGATGTCAACATGCCGTTCATTATCTGTATCGACTTCTTCGACGTTGGAGTTGGGAGGTCGGCGAATGCCCGGCACTTGTCGGGGTTGGCTTCAATCCCTCGTTCTGTTAGATAGAACCCGAGGAATTTTCCTGCCTTAACCCCAAATGTGCACTTCTCGGGGTTGAACCTCATTTTGCATTGTCTTGCTTGGGCGAAGACAGTCTTGAGATGAGCTGCGTGATCGGTGTCTGCTCGAGATTTGACGATCATGTCGTCCATGTATACCTCGAGCATGTCGCCGATCTGTTTGTTGAACACTTTGTTCATCATGCGTTGGTACGTCGCGCCGGCATTCTTTAGTCCGAAGGGCATTACGTTGTAGTAATAGTTGCCCGAGCTGGTCATGAATGCCGTGCAGCGTTTGTCGCCCGGAGCCATTGGGATTTGATTGTATCCCGAGTAAGCGTCCATGAACGACAAAGTTTTGTAGCCGGCCGAGTTGTCGACCAGCATATCAATGTTTGGTAGAGGAAAAGCATCCTTCGGGCAAGCCCGATTGAGATCGGTATAATCAACACACATTCGCCATTTTCCATTATTCTTTTTGACAAGTACAACATTTGACAGCCAGGTGGAATACCGGGCTTCAGAAATAAAATTTGCCTCTAAGAGGTCTTTTACAGCTTTTTCAGCAGCCTCCGTTTTTTCTGGAGACTGCCTACGCCTACGTTGTACTACTGCCTTGGCGGCTGGATCAATGGCGAGGTGATGACAGGCGACCTCAGGGTCGAGTTCGGGCATCTCTGCAGCGCTCCAGGCGAAGAGATCAGCATTCTCGCGCAGACAGGCCTTGATTTGCTTCCTGGCCAAGTCGGGGAGGTCCTTGCCAATCTTCACTCCCTTGGTCGGGTCTGCTCCGAGGGGAACGAGTTCGAAATCACCGTCCGGAATAGGTCGGAGGGGGATTTGCTCGTTGCTGGCCGGTTCATCTTGGTCAAAACGGGCGTCGAGCGCAATGGAGTCGACCTTTGGTGGAGCCTTCTGAACTTCTACCTCAGGAGGTGCTGTGTCGGGCTCTTGCTTTGTCTTCTTGATGGGCCTAGTGCTGGGACCTACGTCGACAGTATCCCGACCCCTTGAAGCGGCGTTGAAGCACCGGCGGGCAGCAGCGAGGTCGCCCTGGATGGTGGCTACCCTCCCCCTCTTGGTATAGAACTTCATCTTTAGGTGGACAGTTGAGGGGACCGCTGTCAGTTCCGCCAATGTCGGCCTCCCCAGGATGCAATTGTACAGGGATGGGCAGTCAATGACGAGGAAGCGGACCTTCACCTGTCTTGTAGCAGTATCTTCCCCGAATGTCACGAGGAGCTCGACATATCCCCAAGGTTTGGACGTCGAGCCGTTGAAGCCTTGAAGGTCCGAACCTATATATGGAGACAGATGGGAGTCGTCCAGTTGTAAAGTCCGGAACAGCTGGGTGTACATCACGTCGACGGAACTCCCTTCGTCGACCAGAATGCGATGCACGTCAAAATTGGCCATCTTTGCCCTTATCAGCAAGGGGATGACTGCGTTCGGTGACATTCGGGGAAGGGTCCTGTAGTTGTGTCGGGCACGTTGCTCGTGTTGGGATTCCCTTGAACGTGATGTTCGGTGGGCGAAGGTCACATGTCCGTCTCTGTTGTGCCTCCGTTCGTGCCTTGAGGCGTCGCGAACGGGCTCTTCGGCAGGGATGACGGGCTGTCTTTCGTATTGGGGCCGCCTCTGCCTTGGTGCGGGAGAGGGGCTCCTAGAGATTTCCCTGTAATGTCTCCGCGGGGGAGTAGGGTGTCGAACTTCTTCGACCCGAGGAAGTGGAGATGGTGGCCTTTGATGTCTCCTCGGGGGGCGTCGATCATTTTCCAGTGCCCTAAGTCTTTCTCCTTGTGCGAACAGGAGATAGTTCGTCTGGTTGATGGCCGCGAACAGTGCCTGAGCAGTGGCATCCGCTCCGGCAGGGGCTTGGACTTCATAGAACCGGGCAGCCTGGCGATAGGCGAGAGCCTCCGGATCGTCTTCGAGTCCTGGAGGAGTTGTCGAAGAGGACGCAGTGTTCCCGTCCCTGCGGGTGGAAGGTCCAGGGGCGGTTGTCAGGGGGACGGCATTGTGGCCGGCACCACTGGGATTGTCCAGGTGCCCATTCTTGTCCGCGGGACCGTTGTTGGCGTCGAGGACGCGAGTGTGTTGTTCTTCACGAGTTGGAGAGGCCATGACAGTGAATGGATTGAGCTTTGGTCTTTGAAAACTGTTCGTTAGACGGGGAAGCTGTTTCCCACAGACGGCGCCACTGATCTGACCTGATCAGAAGGTTTGGACCGTCACGGCTGCTCCGAGCTGAAGGCTTTTTGAGCGAGGAGGGGGGGTACCTGCAAGGCACTCCGATGCTTAAGTCAGTGGGAGTACTAGCAGATAATAGAGTTGAGGTTAGAATGATCAATACCTGACCCTCTGGAAACAGAGGGTATTTATAGCCCCCAGCGCTGGGCCAAGGTTCCTTCGTTGGGCCGGGCGGATTTGGCCCAATGGAGGAACTGCCAGGTTCTACGTGGGTAGTGGGGATCAGCACGTGGTCCCCTTCCTGGATGTGCTGCGTGAAGTGCGGGCGGACGGAGATGCGGTATTTGCGGAGTATCGTTGGGGCAATGGAGGACTAAGTCTGCCCTAGCAAGGTAGCTCGAGTCCATGTCGAGCTGCGCAGCGTGGTGCCAAGCCCGACGCCAAGACCTCGAGCTGGACAGCGAGTGTCGAGCTGGGTGCTAGGATACGGAGCTGACGACAGTCTGTCGAGCATGACTTCGTCGCGTGGGACTAGACACAGAGATGTCGAGGTGGACATCAGGGTGTCGGGCATGAATGTGACCCCCTTTGCCCAGCGTGGTCCTTAGTGAGTCCCTTTGGACTGGGCCTTAGTAATGCTTTTGGGCCTGTCGGGCCCAGTCCAGAACAGTTAATGTTTAGCCCAACTTTAAAAGCTTGTTTCAATTCAAGATCAACCTGATGGTAAAATCTCACAGGTTCTTGGTTAGCTCAGTATAAAATCAAGTTTCAGTTTTCGAGTTCAGCTCAGTGTTAAAATCTTGCCAAGGTTCAAGATCAGCTCATACAAAATCTTCGTTTGAAGCTGTAAAACTAACTGCTCCAAGTTTCTTGTGGAAAGGAGACTAACCGCTTTGATCCATCGTTTGGAAGGAAGAATCACTACTTCTCTCCGTGTTTTCTGTTTGGAAGTTAACCACAAACTTTCTTTTTCTTGTATAATGGAGTTTGAGATTTCAACCTACTAAAAACTTTTAAGTTTAATTGAATATACTTTCAAGATCGATTCTTGAAGACATGACTAAATCGTTTTTGATTGAACCTGTATAATTTTTAGTTTTCTTCTCTATTCTCTTAAACTCTTTATACTTTTGGAATTTATATTTTGCAATTTAAATTTCCGCTATTTATCAAAAAAAAATTTATAATATTTTCAAACTCTAATTTTGAAATATTTTTTTTTTAAACCTAAATTCTACTGAAACACAAACTTCACCCAAATCAGATATCCAACTACCATTCTATTCCCTAGCAAATAGATCACATTTAACCCTTCTATTCCCCAACAATTTCCCTGAATCAAAATAACTAATCTTTTTATTCATTGAAACAAATGTATTGATATTGGAATTTGGGCGTATTTTACATCAATTCATGCACATATACCTTGCTTGGATAAACAATACTATCAACAATGAGAACAATTAGAAGAATGTAATGATTCCTTCCACACCATCTTCTTTTACATTTTATATTATGGATTCTAGGACAAGCTACATATTCAGGCGTATAATACAAGGAAGAATCTACCAGGAGCAAGAATTAAAAAAGAAACCCAAGATCTAACACTTTAACTATGTTATGAATCATGTTCTATCAAAAATAAATTTCCTTCCTTTAGAACATAGTTGAAAAATGCCTTAATTGACAAAGAAGCCAGTGAAAACAGTAAAAACTTTAAATTTAACCACCATTACAATTATTATATAATAATGACGTGCTAGTCATACTAATCTTTAATTTATCTAATTTATGCCCATACTAATATTGTGATCTTTTGACAATCTTTACCTTTAACCTTAAAAAAAGTGTTTTGAGAATATCAATTAAGATCTCAACTACCGAAAACAAAAAAAAGTCCTTAACCACATGGTTCACACACACAATAAAATACAATAAATAATTATAAACTATTTGATTATACAATAAAATAAATAATTATAAAATATTATAAAATATGAATGTATAAATTTTATAGTATGATAGACAAACTATTAAATAAAATGTTGAGTCTAATTTCTATATATTCAGTTAATATGATCACACGTTACATATGAACTAATAATTTGGTTATTTAAATACCTTGATAATAATTGAGAATAATTAATTAAGATACACTATCGAAACCTTTGCATGGATCTATTCTCTTCGAACTTTCTTGGTAATATGTTGTGAGGTTGAAAATGTTTTCTGTTTGATTTGGAACAATAATTCAACCTCTCTTGAAACATCAAGTAGTTGTTTGCAATGTGGTTTCCTTCTCTTCAAAGATGGTTTGGGTTTTCTTGGTGCAACTGGACATTGCTTTGGTTCTTGTATTCTATTTTCAAACCGAGTCGGAGTTTTGAATCCATCATTTTCTTCATCTTTATCTTCCATCTTGTGTTTTTCTCTTGGTGATGTTGGTTTAGACAACACTATGATTTGTTCTTCCTTTTCATAATCTTGTTTTTCTTCATGAAACATCAACATTGGACTCTTCATATTGTTATCGTGAATTAGCTTTGGACTTGACATGTTGGAGATATGAATGAATAGGATTGATGAAGGAGAATTTATGAGAGAAAGAATGGAAAGTAAAAAAAGGGAAATTAGTTGAGAGGTAGTTATAGAGATCCAAACTTCTTTTATATAGTATTTCTTTGTTTAATGATTGAGGATTTCCACTAGGTAGCTAGGTTCCTTGGTTATACTTTTTGGACATGTGATGAGTTTTCAGTCCATGTTTGGATCTACATATAGATAGTGTGTTTTGGTGTTAAGGATTCCAATACCAATAGTTTATTATACAAGTTACTTTTTCCTTCCTTGATAAATGATTTATTTTTTCTGTGTGTGCGCATATGTATTAAGTTAATTATATAAACATAAATTATATTTTTATTAAATTACTCTTATTAAGTATCGGTTTATATATTCAAAATTATCATAAATATAGAGTAAAATATATTAATTAAAAGTGATACAATTATTATTAATTAGATAACACAATTGAAAATAAAAAAATAGTATTATATTAAAAAAATTAAAATTAAGAGTTATTTTAAACATAATAATTTTATAAATTAGTCACTTATTGTAGAACATAGATATTATTTAATTTTATAAATATCACTTATTTTAAAACAAAGATATAGAAAACATCAAAACTGATAATAATCTGCATAATTATTTTTTTTTGATGACGAATCAATATTTTAGAAACTATATTTATTGTTATAGAAGACACATCATTGTATGTATATGAGTCTCTGTACTCTATAAAATATATAATATTTTTGGTGCTGAAAAATCAAAAGTGATAAAGAAAAATATTATGAAAATATATTGATTGTCGAATATATTTTTCCATATTTGACCACTTTATTTGAAGTGATTCTGTAAATTATTTGTCTCATAATAAAATTTCAAGTCAAGTCTACACATATATGTTTCTCTTCTGTCCACCCAAAAATCAAAATATCTATTGACTTAAGTTTCGATCTTTCCTCTTATAGTTCAATCAAAAAATTCAAACACAATTCTTTATTCACAGATATTCCAACACACCTAAATATATCAAATAAGACATTTATAACAAAATCATATTGATTTTTAAATCATGAAAGCTTCTTATGATGAATTACATGTTTCTCAAATATATTCAAACATATTTTTTTAACAAATATTTTATGACAAATACAGCAAACCTCGTCATCAGAAATTAAAGAAATTATAAATTGATATTTAAGAATTATGTGATACTTTACGGTAAACATATAGTTAATTATATTTCGACTTTGATTAATTAAATATAATATAATAGTTATTCAAATATGCATACGAAGAGTGCTACATAAAACGTGACAAAAACTAAATATATGAACAACTTTCATTTTACAGTTATATTTTAGAATTAAAGAAGACTCAATTTAAATTTTAAAAATGGATTGTTGTATTGTAATGTAATAATTTAGATTTTAAAATGTGATTTAGGGCCGGTTTGTTTGATCTTTAAAAAATTGATTTTTTTTTTAAATTGAATTTTATAAAACTGTTTTTTAAAATATTTTAAGTTTTTATTTTTTTTTTATTTGAAGGACTAATTTTGAAATTCTATAATATAAATATATAATATTGAAGATTAAAATATAGCCGAAATTGTAATTTTAAAAAAAATTATATTTTAAAAATGATTTTTATGAAAAGTTATTTGAAATAGTTTTAAAATTAAATAATTTTTTTAAATTTTAATAGTCAATTTTTTTTAATAAAATAATAAAATATCTAAATAATATTTTAAGAATAATATTCAAACCAAAATTTAATTTGAAGTTTTATAAAAATCATTTAAAAAATCAAAACAAATGAGCCCCTAGTTTAAAAAAAAAACAATCCTCAAGTGATTGTGTAAACGTAGAGGATCAAATTATGTGTTTTAGACGTTTAATATATAGCTATGGAAAATGGTAGTGTTCTTACATAATTCTCTATAAAGTAATTTATGAAGTGATATAGTTATATGGTATATTTTTATTAGGGGTGGCAAACCGCTTAGACGCGTTACGTGAAAACCCGAAAAAAAATGAGACTAATAAGAAAAAAGGGTTTGAGTTTATAAAATCTTAGATTGTTAAAAAAAATAAAGGAACGTGGTTATAATATCTGTATATAAATAGACTAGTAGTAGTTGTCATTTAAATTTAATCTTTCTTACAGTTTTTGTAGTCGTTATTGCAGAACAATAAATATATTCTCTTATTCTTCCTGTTCTTCATCATCTTGTGCACTAACAATTGATATCTAGAGTTTCGGTTCATATCCATAGGAAAACACGGGAAACACGAGTGAAACAGTGAGGCGTTGTGTGATTGATTTTGTGAACGAAATCGTAATATAATCCATTTTCTGATTCTGCGGGATTAGGAAATGCTGTGTTTGGTGAGATCTGAGTGACTTGCACAATATTGAAGATGAACAAAAACAGTAGTCTCAGCATCAAACTTCCAGTGTTCGATGGTAAGAACTGAAATCGTTAGATGATTTAGATGCGTGTGTTGTTTGGTGCTCAAGATGTGATTGATCTCGTCAATGATGGTTATGTTTCGGTTGCACTTCTAGAAAATGCAACTGATGCATAGAGAAATGTTCAACATGATCTGAGGAAGAAAGATCAGAAGACGTTGTTTTACATCCATCAGTGTGTGAATGTGAACGTGTTTGAGAAAATCACTGATTCGACGATGGTGAAGGCTGCGTGGGACACACTGGTTAGGTGTTACGGTGGTGACACATCAGTGAAGAAGGTGAAGCTTCAGTCTCTACAAAAGCAGTATGAGAATCTCAACATGAAAGACAACGAGAAGGTATCTGAGTACATCTCCAGAGTGATTCTGATCACTAATGAGATGAAAGCTTATGAAGAAACTCTTTCTGAACAAGTAATCATTGAGAAGATATTGAGGTTACTTACCCCTCAATTTAATTACATTGTTGTAGAAATTGAACATTCTAAAGACCTGAACACCATGAGAATAGAAGAGCTGCAAAGTAGTCTAGAAGCACAAGAGTTGCGTCTGACTGAAAGAACTTCTGAGAGGGAGGTTAAGGAGGCTCTGAAAGCTTTTTTTGTCAAGAAGGACCAAAATCATTCCTAGTCAGAAGCCAAGAAGAAACATGATAGGTCTCAGAAGTCAAAAACCTCCACTTCTGATGAGAAGAAACATCAGAAAGGAAAGGAGAAGTACGACAAGAAGAAGGTTTAATGTTATTGTTACAAGTTGTTTGGCCATTTTGCTAAAGATTGTTGGTCAAACAGGGGGAGGAAATCAGACGAAGAAAATATATCCAAAGGAGATTTCGATGATGAACTTGTGCTATTAATGGCTTCTCATTCTGATGGAAGGTGTTTGGTAGACTATTGGTATATGGACACTGGCTGCTCAAATCACTTGACTGGAAATAAACAACGGTTGATACATTTTGACTCCAGAAGAAGGACAAAAATCAGATGTGCTGACGATAAGTACCTTAATGCAGAAGGCATGGAAAATGTCAAAGTTAAAGTAAAGAATGGAAAGACTCTTCTAATCAAGAATGTTTGGTATATTCCTGGCATTAAGAGCAATCTGATGAGTGTGGGTCAACTCATTGATAAAGGTTTCTCAGTTGTTATGAAGAACAATCTCTTGAAGTTGTATGATTCCAATCAAAAACTGATTATTCAATCTGAACAGGGAAGCAACAAAACATTCAAGGTGAATATTGAGACAACTGAAATAGAGTGCCTTAGTGTAGAAGGCGCTGAAGGTGATAGTAAGTTGTGGCACAAGATATTGGGGAATCTGAACTACAAAAGCCTAGGGCATATGAGTTCTAAGAAGCTTGTGCATGGGATTCTGAAAATTGTGAAGCCTGAGAAGCCATGTGAGGTATGCATGAAAGGCAAGAATCTAGATTGCCATTTGTTTCAGAAGTAGCCTCAAGAGGAAAGCATGCTTTGGGAGTAGTGCATTCTGACGTGTGTGGATTATTTCCAAAACCTTCATTTGGAGGAAACAAGTATTTTTTTTGTCTTTTGTGGACGAGTTCTCAAGAATGACATGGGTAACACTCGTCAAGTTTAAGCATGAGGTGTTTACCGAGTTCCAGAAGTTCAAGGTAAAGGCTGAGAAACAAAGTGGTTAGAAGTTGAAAATTCTCAAAATGAATGGTGGATGAGAGTATAACGCTAAAGAATTCCAGAAGTTATGTGAGGAGAATAGAATTAAGCATGAGGTTACTGTTGGAAGCGGTATAGCAGCAAGCAACAAAAGTTTTAGAAATATTTATTTGGGAATTTATCGTGTCCATAGAGATTAGTTATTGAATTTCTGTTCGATAAATTCTCGCGTTTATGAGTTTGGTTTTAAATGAATTTTTGTATGTAAGGTGCTGAAATTAAAAGTTATACACAAGAAGAATTTCATCATTCGAATAGGATAGAACTCTCGAGTTTGTATTTCATCAACCTCGTCAAATACTTAAACTTACTACCCAGTTGTACTTAACCTTAACTACTCGGTAATATCATCATGTATCACTCATACAAAGGTAATATCTAACACATAGCGAGATATCAACCATGTCGCTCAGTGTCGACGATCTCTCAGCACAACATAAAATAACACAGAGGCATTAAGAGTCGATACCTAAGTGATTACTAAACCTAAATCTATCTCTAGAATCTAAGCCTAATAGATATTCATCCTAAATCTGGATTCAATCTGTCCATCTCTGCAACAAGTCAAACCCAGACACTTAGCAAGCTAACAAGGATAAGCATCAATAAATATTTGTAAAGAAAGTTTCATACAACACCATGAGCAATAAATATACATATAATCAAGGTAAAGTTACATACAAAATCCAACAAATAATGGTTACAAAGAGAAGAAGAGGAGAAGAAACCACATTTCCCGCGGTGTCAAACACGGTCCATCAAGCTCATGATCCTGGATCATCCATTTGCAGCCACAAATGTTTTTGTTTAAGCTCTA